TTCTGCCATCCTCAGCTGCACTTCCCATTCCTTGGTATCTATTCTTTTTCTCTGACTGACCACCATCGTATCTTAGCTTAATATTAAAAGAACTGCATGCAATAGGGCACTTAAAATTTCATGCCAGAAACAGCCAAACGTCACTTGCTGTCTCCATCACGTTAACTAACTCAACAAGCAAATCTGACAGTCCATGAATGGCAAATTGGTCGACAATATTAAAGGTCATATGAGACGACGCGTAGGTACGCAGCTCCCATGGTGTACTGTCAACAGCAAAGGTATGCAGGAGGTTGGATCTAAAACAAATGCGAACTTTGCTATATAGTATGTAATGCTTGTAATCAGCTGGTGACTGTATAGGTCAGGATGCCAAGCACACTATGAAACATTTATTCTAATACATTCCCAAAGCGGGAATTTAGCTTTAACAAACTTTTACGTCCCGCAAACTTTTGCTGTTGATAGTACTTCTACATGCTGCTGTCATGCACGCCTGAATCGAATGTAACGGCCATTATGGTCAAAGAAAAAAATGCTGAACACCATGATGGATGGCAATGCAAATTTTTGGTCCTGCGTCACCTCTTTGTCATAGCTCACCCACCTCTTTTTTGTGTATCTTGAAGCTTTTTGCGGCAATTAAAGGAAAGAGAAAGCACTCCCATTATGTCGTAGCTTTGCTGACACTTCATAGATTGGGATGGTTTTGTAGCAAAAGATCTGTGAGGAAACATTGTTATTAATAGCAAGATCTTTACATGATAACTGAAAGACGTGTTGCAGGGCCCTTTTATATACTGTGTATTGGATTTTACTGAAAGTTCGCATGCCTCCTTGATGTGACCCACCGTGGTACATTTGTCCTTTCTCGGCCATAGAGTACTATTTGAAACTGCCATTGGAGCTGTTGTTGAGCAGATGAATTCAAAGCTATGCCATATCAATCTGGGTCATTAATCCATATAATACTGGTGCTTTCTTTAATATTTGCAAGTACATAGGATTTCTAAGAGCTTAGAAATTGTGTGCATAGGCTTATTCAATTGGGGGCACCTAACATCCTAGCAGCATCGGCCCCCAACCAGGTGTTATGTTGTCAACTATCCCAGATAGAGCCACTCAATGATACCACACTGATTAAAAGTGATAGAACAGAAAATGTGTACAAACTACATCTGCTGCACTTGAAGGTACCATCTACTGTTGAGGGCTCGTCCTGAAATACTGGTGACAGTGAAAATACAATATCTCAAGATGATAGAAACAAGCTTGTAATATAATAACGATTTAGTGGCTCAGGTGTTGTGCACAAGGTGCAGCCATCAGCACCTTTAACGCAAACACTTCGATGCATGGCCAGGGCTAGTTTGACTGATGCCAGCTGCAAAGTGCTGTGCGCTTTTGCCAAGATAATACCTCGGTAGGCTTGGAAAGTATGTCGGCATGTATGGTTAGCATTTTGGCAACAGAAGCCAAATGTATGCGGTGTCAGCGTCAATCAAACTGCTGCAGGACATGTGGCCGAGCGTTCGTGTAAAAGGTGCTGACAGCTGTACACAATCTAATCCTGGCTGCGTGGCTGCTTTTTGATTGAAGTCAAACGCCACAATAGTTGTGTGCCCTGCATTGAGCGCACATTAGTTATTTCTCTGCTGGAAAAAAAAAAAGCACCCACTTGGTTTTCTTTTTTTTTTTCTGAAAGGCACAGCATGGCCATCTGTGTCCATCTAGTCTTAGAAATTGCAACTAGATGGTTTTAACCACATGAGAAATTTTGCTTATGGTGACTTTAGTTGTCATTGGTTATTTTGGTAAAAATTTCATGGTGAATATACTCATCAATGGGAGCTAAAAGGTTAAAAGACCAAAGGTGTTCAAGATTGATTGATCTCTTATAGCAGTGTGCATCATAATCATATATCTTGATTTTGGTATGTATAAGCCTCAAAATATAAGTCTAAAATCTATTTGCCGAGCATACTTTAAAACTGAAAATTTCAATGTTTCCTAAAAAGATCTTGCGAGTCAAGACACTGATGAGGTTTCGATTGCATTAAAAAGTGAAGGACCTTCAAAAGTTAGCACATAGTCCTTTAACGTCACAACACACCAGAATACTGTTCAATATTGACATTCTTTCATGGTTATCTTGGACTTCGACAATACGTGCCACAGAGGGAGGTCAGCTTTACAAGGCAGACAAGTGTGCCTTTCTCATCACCTACACTGCACATATTGTGAATCTTTTCGATCTGTTTAGGGTCATTGATAGACTATGGGCTTTCCACTCAGCTCAAGCACCTTTGTGCCATTGAAAAATCTATCCACAGGGGTGCAAATGCCAAATAGAATTTGGAGCAATTTTTGAAGCCGCACAATGTTACTTTTGAAGCACAAAAATGCAAATTTGGAGCAGGTTACGGGGAGCAAAACATTAATTTTTTATCACGAAAGGCCCAATTTAGAGCATTATAAAAAAGAAGGCCTACATTTAGAAAAAAATTATGTACAAACCATTCATCATGCCCTGAATCGTGTAGTGTGAGTAAGAGCACTGCTATTTCAATAAAATTGACCATCTCACTGAGGCAATAATGATAACGTCTGCATTAGCATTTGGTGCGTCTCACTCTGCGAATTCAAATGTGGATCTGCAAAGCTGGCGACCTTGAAATTCAAGGAATTTGTAGAAGTGGCAAAAAAAAAAAAGAAAAGCTGGCACACAATTTTCTTTAGGGCACCAAAATGTCATACACGGGTCCAAATGATTGCCAGTAACTTTTTTAGATGTCATCGGCCCTACTAGTATTCACAATTATGCGCTGTATACAAGCGCGAGTAATTGAACAAAATGTGCGATATCCCGTGATTAGTGCAACAGCTCCTTCAAAATCATAACGCGCATTTTCGCTGGGCACCGGTGTACTGCGGCAAAGGTGGATTAAGCAGCGTTCTGCACGAGTTAGGACAAGTCATGAAAAACCGCTAAACTCCCACCTCTTTTTGTTGCTTTTTTTCACGATGGGACCAGATAAGTAACAACAGCACGCACTTGCAGGGCCAGTGAGATGGCACCGGATATCTATTGCTGGGATGATGCAACTTCAAGACAGAAAAATGTATTATGTGCTGTTGCTATATCAACCAACGTTGTCGCCGGCAACACCAATTTTTGCAGCATATCGTGTCTGTTCGCATGCGAAGAATGAGGCATATGCTCCCAGCTTTAGTTGCTAACATGCCATAGCTACGTTTACTGTCTAGAAAGTTCATTCCTGCGAAGCGTTGGTGGCTACAGCAACTCCTTTTGTTTTCAAGTTGTGTCGTCCACCGATAGGTATCTGCAGCAGTCAGCGGACCAATGGCGCACGGCTTTGTTAGTTTGTCTGGTCAACCGCGTGTCGCGAGAGCCCGGACCTAATGGGAATATATTCTTACACCGTGTTTCAGGTTAGGGTTGATCTGCACACTTGGATTGATTGATCATGCAAACTGCATGCTAATAGTCAACGTGGCTGCCATTTCTCGCTGAAATTAGCGCAACTGAGAAAACTTTCAGACTGGTCAGGCATTTTCGTGCAGCTTGGTGCAATTTAGCAAATTCATGGTTTCGGTGCAAAAATTGGGAATTATATCAAATTGGTGCAACTGTAGCACCCTTGTATGCAACAAGTCTCCCTGGTGTGATTTTTTTTGCAGGGACATCGGTTCTACATGACAGTAAAAGCCAATATGTTACCTTGCCTTCTAACAACATGGGTAGTGTAACATTTTATTTTTGACTATTGTATCTAATAAGTAACAGAATTATTATGGCAGGATGGCACACTCTGAATGGCCGTACTTTCGTGTACATGCAACGTAACTTCGCTCTGGTAAGGGATAAGAATCTGGTTTTTAAGCACAAATCCTTTTTGCCAAGTTGGATTCTTTTACTAGATGCTTAGTTTTCCTTTTATAAAAACATAAGATCGCCACAAGCATAAATCACCACAAGTTGAAAAAAAAAAAAAAGAAGCCAATTCAGAGGTGTCTTTGGAGATGTGTAGTGGTGCGTGCGAAGATCAAGCCCATTTATAAAAAATCAAGAGTGCTTTACTGGTAATCGGCGATTCACTTGATTATAATATTATGGGCAAGCTTGACAATAAGGATACACTGCTGTGTTAAGAATGCATGTTTTTTTTAAACTACAATGTATATTTTGGACGAGATTTCGCAGCTAATAACATTAGCCCATTGCATACATTTACTAAACTCGTCGCTGCACAACTTGCCTAATCTTGACGATAGGAGCTTGGTACTTGGTAAAATTTACGAAACTGATTAGAGAACTGAAATAAATTATAGTATACATTGATAATTTCCAATCACCAAATTTCATTTTCTGTGTGCAGCATATTTGAAGCAATTTGCATGACAACTGTTTTACGTCACTGATGGCTTTGTTGGCTAAGTGACAAATTGTCCACTATGTAGGCAAAGCTGTGGTGGGCAAGGGCGAATTTTTGCAAGTTGGCATCTTATTCATAGTGGAGAATGGAAAAAGTATGCAACTGAAAGCATGGTTGTTTTGTTATCTTGGTAGTCTGCCAATGCAGCTGCCTAATGCCATTTTTCAAACCTGTGCAGACTTCAAAAGTTAAATCACAATGACATGTAATGTGCATGTAATTTATTGCAACAACCATTGAATTCACCATGAGATGGTTGCATTAGATGCACACAGCATAACTAAATGTATCGTACATTCGCACCCTTCAAAAGTGCCAGTTGGGCAAGTAGGTGAACATTTAGAAAGATTTAAACTCATAAAGACAAAGGGAACATATTTGTGCCATGTTTAAGTGTATTGCAGCCAACAAAAACAGTATTTGAACAAGTTGCATCTCAATTCAAAGGGCAATTGCTTGAGATTCTTTTACTCTTCTACAATAATTCATAGAACAATTTCCAAACAATCAGTTGTATTCTTTGAAGCATTGGGTGGCACAGAATTTTCCTTTGAAACAATCATGCAGTGCAACTGATTTTGTAGTCACACTCATTATTCTGTTCCATTCCAACGAGACACCTTATTGATGACAGGCAGGAGGAATATTTGATAGCTTGTAGCGAGTGCCATCCCAGTCAAAGTGAGTAGGTGGAGACTTATCACTGTCATCAGCAAAAGTAAAATGCTTGCTAAGCTCAATAGCCAAGAGTGAACGTATTAGCCCAACACCACCTGCCCTTTCAGGTGCTGGGTGATAGACCCTCCCTGTGCCAGCAGGCATGCAAAGGTGCTGTGGTGTAAACTCAACTTTCAGTAGGTTGCCTGCATAATTGTGTAAGAGGAAGCCTTTTGAACCTGGCTCTTTGCTTTCTTCGGGCAATTGTACAATGTGCGTGAAGACGAAGGGCAGGTCATCACAGCGGACAAAATTCATCTCCCGTCCACATGGAGAGATGAATGGAAATTCTGCTGTATACTTCCCAGTGTCATTATACTGCAGCCGGCGAAAGAAGAACTCCAGAAATTTTTTTCTGGAAAGCACAAAGAGGCTGTGTTAAGCATAATAAAAATGAAGCACTTACTGTAATCAAATTCTGTCTACGCTTCCTCTTGTGTGTAAAAAAAATTCTGCTTATGCAATCCAAAACATACTAATACACTGCCGAGATACAAGTACTTCATGATATACATAAAAGTTTATGGTTCCTTAACATTTCTTATTTGCCAAAATTCACACTTGTTGCAAATGATGACTTGTGAATTTTATAAGTGCAGCTAGTTAGTTGCTAAGATTGAACAATTGTACCAAGAATAATTTTTTAAAAGAAATGTTTTGAGCATAAACAAAACCAGCTAACTATAAGCAAACTGCAGTTAGTCAAAATGTACTTTCAATATTGCATGATATATTAAAACAACTTCCATGTAATATTGTCACTATGAACACAGTGCAGAAACCACAAAAACAGCAATACCGTGTTCGAATGCCAAACAACGATGTTTAAACAATGTTCACGCCAACTAATAAATTGAACTTCAGTACAGCGTCCTCGAAGCGCGAAAACATCAGCGACATAATAAAAATGGGGGGCACACGAACACCATTGATCACCGCCGGTAAGGTGGCATATCGCACGTGAGGCAAATGCGCTAACTTGTGATAGCACAGCTTGCACGGTGGTTGCAACGCATTGAAACAGACGTCACATCAACGTTTACGACACTTCAATGCACCACCCCTTGCGAAAGTACACCGACTACGCGAGAATTGTTTGCTCAGCATGACAAACTTGCCACGATAATTGATACAATACCTTTGAAGCATGACGTGAAATTCTTCATTCTGGAATCATCTAGAAGAGCTGCATGTCAGGAGACAACTGTCAACACAACTTATTCTGATTAAGCAGCTGTTCTACAACAGAATAAGGCGTACCATTCTTGATGGTCAATAAAATAGAGTACTCCCGGGTACTCTTCGTAGACTGGCCCTGTTCATAATGAAGATTTCTATGACTACGCCCACAACGCCGCTTGGTAGGTTACGGCGCAATTTCCAGCACAACGCACGCCACTTCACCATTCTTCTAGAATATAGTAAATAAATGATTGACCACGCAACAGCCGACAAGCGATTAGGAGTCAGTGAAGCGCGTAGAGTGGCTTGGCCACAACACCCCTATATCATAGAGAAATATACTATATTCCTATTTACTATATATTCTATGGACAATTTACTTATACAAGAGAACTGTACCTTGAGAATGCAACGAAAGTGGCGCCGGTGGCGTTCTCTAATAACTTATCCGACCTAGAGATGGCGCTGGCATTGGTAGTGCAATACATGACCTACTACACTCCTGACCTGTTCAGATAGCGGGGTTCCTATGGGAGCGCGTGTCCCCGCTCTCGTTCAATCGCTCGCCGTAGGTGGCGCTACCTATAACCTGTTCGTCTGCTTCTTACGGTTGTTTTGTAGGCGCTGGTATAAGAATGCCTGCTTTCTGTGGTGAACTGTCGGCATATATGTGACTATTTCTTCCCATACATTGCTGGTCAAGTAAGCTGTTCAGTGCGCTTAAGAATTATAGCACACTGTTGACAAACGTGGAAACCCGTGGATTTACATGATTTTGGACAGCCTATGCGTTGTCGCGTGCATTTTATTGCAAAAAAAATTCTGAATGTCTTTTAGTATTATTATTTCTGGATATTTCTAAATTGTGGATCATAAATTCGCACTACGAGTGCTTTGTTGGTTAAAATTTGACTACAAGAGTGAAGGTGACGTCAGCGAACAGGTGCTGCCTAGCGCCACGCCGCTCGTAGGTGACGGCCCCTAGCGGCAGAAGGTATGAACTAGAACGTGGGCGCTGGAAGAGGTGCTCTCTGGGCAGGTCAGGAGTGTAGTAGGTCATGGTGCAATACGAAGGGGTAGACACTGTATGCAGTGCATGTGGAGAGGAGGAGAAAAACTGCCGAACACTTGATAATGTTCTGTAAAGGGCTTCACCCTATAGTTCGAGATGATGGCGCAAAGTTTTTAAAAGCACTGGGGTTTAGGGACAGGGAGGGCCAAATAGACTTTAAGCGGGTAGAATTAACTAGAAGAAGGTTATCTGATTGGTAGCTAAAGTCAAAGCACGAGTGAAATTTAAAACCCTTCACTGCAAAGTACTAGTCCTCAACCTCACTACCTAAAGGGGAAAAAAAGATAAATCTAGTGGTTACTTCACCAGGTATCACGACTAGGCGGCGTTAACCACCGCCCGATCTAAAGGGTATAGCCACATCATCCACTCAATGTGGTAGTGTTGATATTCTATGGTCGCAGCGGAGTCAGCCGGATAACTCTCAACATAGCCTCCTATATAACTTTAGAGGAGGCTATGCTCTCAAGTTCACGCGATGGCCGTAGAGGGCGAAAAAATCGACCACGGTGAGTTAATTAAAAAAAAAAACCCTAAGGTGCGGACGTGTTTTCGTGCGCTCCACCTGTTCGGCAGATTCAAGTTTGTGCAAGGTCAGTCGGTGAAGGTGCAGAGGATGCCTTGCATTAAAAGTTGCTTCTTGACTGACGGCGTCACTTACGTAGGATTAATTATAAGTACGTTACGCATTTTAAAAATTTTTACGTTAATTTTGTTGCACAAAAGCTCCAAAAACGTAAAAACCTTTTGACACACCCTTACTTGAGTGGCTCCACCACTGTAGTTCCGACGACCGCCGCTCCCCAAGTGACCGCCGATATGCACGGGAAATCTATATAGGAGGCGTTCACGGAGGAACCTTTTCCTTCCTCCGTGGGAGGCGTTGGTGTGGGACACGGGCAACGTTGTAGTGACGTTGACCACGTGAACGGGGTGGCGGCTGTTTTGAAGCAGTTCGGGGCGCCCGGTTAGTTGTTAAACAGCTAGAGCCGAACACGAAGGGGATCTAGTGAGCGGCTACTAGCGAAATTGAACTCATATTTTTGTGGTGTAGGCGGCAGCTTCAAACAGTTGTTGAGGCAGAAGAGTTAACGGAGGCGGCTGGATAGCGGGATTAGGGTTGAACGTAGGGCTGTCGTGGCGCTGGGGTCCGATGGTCGGGCGGGCGATGGCTAAGGAGGCTAGGAAAACCACGAGCGAGAGTGAGCTGGTGCAGTGCGAAGAATGCAAGTGCTGGTGCTACTTAGGTGAGACAGCATTCACGAGTTTGGCTGACGCGCAGAAGGCGAGCTTCGTGTGCAGGCTGTGCGAGGCACTGAGGCGGCCGTGCAGCGCACGGAGGCTAGCATCGAGGGGCTTCAGGGGGCGCTTAGGACGGAAGGGGAGCAGAGGATAGAACAGCTAGGAGCAGAGATAGCAGAGGACAAAACAGCTCGGAGCGTCGCGTGAGCGGGAGGAGGCTACCGCCAGCCCATTAGAGCAAATGAAGGGCGAGCTTCAAAAAGAACAGGAAGGGCGAAACGAGCTCGTGCAGCGGGTAAAGGAGCTGGTGGCGCTTTGCCCCGGCCCCGAGCGTTGCTAGGCGGAAGGCATGGGTAGCGGAGAAGGTGACAGGCGGGAAGGAACAGGGGAGAAGGGAGGTCAGGGGGGCCGCAGTGTCTGGCCACAGCACGGAGGCCCCGACAACATGCAGCTCGGAGGTGCGGCAGTCTTCGAGCAGGGCAGGAATACAGGACAGACGGCAGAAAGAGAAACAGGTGAAGCAAACAGGGGCGCCATCACAAACAGGAAGCCAGCGACTGGAGCGTAGAAGGGTCCCGGTGGTGGGGGACTCTAACGTGGCCAGGGTTAGGGATGGCGTCTTCAAGACAGTGAAGGAAGATGGGAGAATGAGGGTGAGGCCCAGTCAGGGAAGGGCGTGGTGGATGCACTGGCCAAAGCTCAGGAGGTTGTAGAAGACAGCATGGAGGGCGAAAATCTCGTGATTATTCATGCTGGGCTCAATGATGTATTGAAGGGCAAGGATCAGAACCTTCAAAGACAGTTAAAGGATGGGATTCGTAAGCTCCGAGAAGCCTTTGGAAGTGTGCATGTGACCTGTGATCATATGCACAGTCCCAGAGGTCTGGGGGCACAGTCTCGTGGGATTGAAAGGAGGGTAGTGGAGGCCAACTGTGTGATCAAGGGTATGAGCCGGCAACTCGGATACAGCGTAATGGAAGTGAACCAAGACGTCTACGAGCCCGGCGCTCGCCCCTTTGCACAGGATGGCATTCACGACAGTGGTGCGACGGGCAGGAGGGTTGGGTAATAGGATGGGTCGTCAAGCCACAGCTTTTTTAGGAGGGGCCCGAGCTCTGAGGCCAACAGTGTAGCCGAAGACGGTTCTAAAGGGGCACAAATATTCTAGCCATACGAAGTCCGTGGGAGAATGAATCGACGTAAGCACAAGGGCCGAGCTAAGACAGACATAGGCTATATTAACATGCAGGGTGGCAGGAATAAGTTAAAGTGGGAAGAGATAGAAGGGCAGTTGAGGCAGGAGGAACTGATGGTATATAGGGTTGTGGAGACACATCTTCAGGACATGGAGCAACCACCCTTGCCAATCCGGACTACGATGGGAATATTGTAATAGCACAGAAGGCAGCAGAAAGGGGGTTGGTATTGGGGCATTCATTCATAAAAGTAGGGACTGGCAAAAGGACAAGCAGGAGTGCAAGGAACATTATGGTCAAAGGTAAAGTGGCAGGGCAAATGACACTCATTGGTTTGGTGTACTTGGAACGGGAGCAAAGGCCAAAGAGGAAAACCAGGCAATGGTCGAGTGTATATCAAAGGACATTGAGGAATTAGGAGGAGAGGCGAGATAATTATATCGGAGATATGCGATGCGCACATAGAAGACAACGATGGGTATACTGACTCAACAAGCAAAATGATCAGATATGTGTGAAAGGCGTGATTTGATTATTTGCAACAGTACTGAGAAGTGTGAAGGGCAAATACTGGGACGTAGGAAGGCTGCAGTCGACAACAGATTACGCACTGATGTCACGTAGGATGTATGATAAGCTCAGGGGAATGCACATAGACGAAGGTGGCTCCAGTAGTCTGGGTAGTGATCACAAACCTATCAAGCTAAGTTTTGGAAGAGCAGTGAAAGTGGGAAGGAGACAAGATGAGCAACTACAGGAAAATTTCATTCAGAAAGGCAAATAGCAATTGCTACTAAACAAATTGAGAAAGTAATCACTGAGAATAATAAACAGTGTGGACATACACAAATATAATCAGACTGTTTGAGCTAGAGCTTGCTAAGGCACGTGACAAGTCACCCCAGAAAAAAGACACAATTCCAAGAGATGGTGGGATGAGGAAGTTAAGAGAGCCATAGCAAAACGTCAGGAAGATTCTAGGGAACACAGACATGCTAAGCGACGGGGTGAACCGATAGACGATGTTGAAAGAAAATGGGACATCTTTTTAAGCTCTAGAAGGGAAGCATCCCTCCTGGTCAATGAAAAGATTTGAAGAAAGGGTTCGCAGTGGCTGGCAGAAGTACATAAAAAGGACAGAAAGGCGGCTGCGAAATTTTGGAACCATCTAAACTCCCTAAGAAATGAAACAAGTCTAGAGCAGAGGTTATAACTACAGCTCGCAGTGCTAGGCTAGAAGGGGACGAAGCTATTGCACATATAAGAACAAGGGTGACAGAAAAATTTCAGCAAAGAAGTGCCTTATGCACCAGAATAGACGAGGATGGTTCTTGTGGTGCAATGGCTCCATTTTCACAACAAGAGTGGGAAAGGGCTGAGAAGAAGGTTCCAAGTAGTACAACAACAGGCCCATATGGCATTCCAATTATGTTTATAAAGACATTGGGTCCGAAGTCTAAACAGACTTTGAGAGAGGCAGTAAGCAGAACAATAATCGA